AATTACAAACTAAATGATAGTTGTTTTCAATACTTTTAGTCAAAAATTTGCATAATATTTATTTAGGTATGTTATTAGGTATGATCTTATATGAATTTTATGATTTCGTAACTTTTATGTTGTATGATGAAGAAACAAAAATTTTCTTTATGTAAAACAAAAATTTTATCAAAATTAAAAATTGAGATCTTTTCTCTACGATATGCGAAAAATGTTGGGAATTTCGAACGAAAAAATTTACATGATTTAAATTTTATGAACATATTTATATAGTAGTATGTATGAATGTTGGTGTTTGAGAAGTTTTTTTTAGAAAGGATATATATGAGTTTTTATGGACATAATTTTACCAAATGGCAAAGCATTTTATGTTTTCCGGTAGTATTATGAGCCTAGCTAACGGTTAACGCAGAGCTTTTATCCATATACTCAAGTTTATACTCGAGAAAGATGTGTCATCTTCGCAGTATACTCTGAAACTATTTTTGAGAAGTCCAACCGGTGGTTTCCTCGGTCAGGTCATGTTTGAAGTTTTATCGCTACATGTGACACGTTTCAGGTTTCCATGAACCCAGTTTTATATTCCACCAAGGAGTGTCAACTCCTCAGTATACTTCGAAACTATTTTTGAGATGTCTAACCAATCTTTCCGCCGTCAATTCAGAGATGCTGGGTTTCTTGCTAAATGAAATTAATTTCAGCTAACCATGAACCCGATCGTAATATTCGACTGAGTGTTAATTTCGTAGAATACTCCGAACTTATTTTTTAAAATCTCCTACTGATCTTTTGCTTCCTTCGGGTTCGTGTGGCAGATATCTAATTCCACAACCTTTACTGAAAATATTCAATAAATATTTTCCAAAAATTTGCTCCGTTAATTTTTGTGATTTTATGTTCAAAAGCGAGTTCAAAAAGCGAGTTTATGTGAAGTGATCATAAAAATGAGTTATAATTCTATCAACTAAGAAATCTTAATATTTAATATCGTTGCTAATGTTCTAAATGTTTGCTTAAGACGGCCATAATTTTCTCCATTGCTAGCATAAACTCTTTTCATACACTAAACTTCACTACCGAGGACGTGGCGCTAAAACAACACACATACATATAAGTATCCAGTGCTACGCTCATTATGAACTGTCTTAAGCTTTCACACTCGCAATTTTTCATTTTCCATTACATATAACTCGCTTTCTTCTTAAACATAAGCATTTGTTTGCTTAATATTACAGGACATCTTATTGAAATTGTCATCGATGTGCGAGACCGGCCGGTAGGAACGCTGCTTCAGACGCAACTGTATGATCCAAGCTATAAGCACCGCAATGAAGGCGACCAAAATGCCGATAACAATATAAATCATCCAATGTTTGCATGATTCCGAGACGACTTTAACTGCGGGCATGACGTCGTCCTCGTCGCGGTATAGTTGGAAGGAGGCCGGACCGTCGTGACGTGAGGCTAGAACAGGCGGGCAAGCGGTGGCTATGGCAGGTTCACTGGCAAGCGCCACAGCTGGCGACTCGGAAGGCGCTGCTGTGGTAGGCGTTATGGGCAAGTATATAGCGGAAGCGGCGGTCGTGCTCGTTTGGGTTGCTGGTCCGGCGGTTGTTTTCACTGTTGCTGCGGTTGTTGACGAGCTGGCGGCACTTGCAGTGGTTTGCGCTTCGGCGGTTGTATTCTGCTGCAGCTTCACTGCTTCTGCTTCGCCCAACTGTATGTTCGACAATGGATCATTCTCATTTTCGCCAGCATAATCAAAGCTACGCTGTGCACTATTTGCATCATCAACGAAATCGTCAGCCAGACCGTCATCACCTTCTTCGTCCTCATCGTCGTAATGCCGCAAACCATTGCCGTATTTGCCATGTAGGCTGCTGCGACCGCTCAGCAATTCCTTTGGCATGGGCGCACAGTCGGGCCAACAAATGGGACAGCAACCATCTTTCAACGTTACTTGACGTTCGCGTGGACAATCGACATTGCTGCAGAACGGCAGCACGCACTTTTCAACGCCATCGATGCATTCGCATTCATAGCAGCCGACCCGCCAACTTTCGCCATGTTCAAAGAGCGCATTCAATTTTTCTGGCTTGCAAATGGCTTTGGTCTTATTCACGGCCTCATCGCAGATCTGTATGCACATGGGTTTGCCCGCAAAACAGTGGCAACGCTGACAGCCCTTCAGCCAATACAGCTCACTATCATCGCCCGCTGTGCACTTCGGTTTGCGCTGACACTCATACTCGCCGCAACATTGACCGGGTTTGTTCATAGATTCGGGCAATAGCTCGACGACCACTTCATCTTCGCCATGACAGTCGGGTATGTAGCAGGTCTTGCAAATGCACTTTTTGGTCAGACAGCATTCTGCATAGACGTCTTCATCGATTTCGGTGGTATTGTAGTTCATGGCATCGGCGGTATCGGTGGGCGCTACGGTGATCTGTTGCATTTCGATGCTGTTGAGCATTTCGCGTACACTGCTGTCCGGCGGGCAGGACATTTCGGACATCGGCGGGCATTTTACATTGTAGCAGGGATGCGGCAGGAGGTCGCCTGCGGAGAGTGAAGAGAAAATTGCAGAGTAAATGTAAGTAAAAGCAAAAATATATATTATTTTATTAGATAATTTAGTATATTAGGTTCTTAACTTAATAGCGTATAAGATAACTAATAGAAAAAGCATTGAAGCACGTCACTTCTGATTGGTAGTGAACTAACTATTTGAGTAAGAATACAACTAGAGGCCTGAATTAATTGAAGTATCGAATTTTTCTTAGTAAACTTGGATTAGGTTGTTAGGTTAGCCTGGTCCTAAAGATAAAGCAACCTCCCACTTAGATAGCTGGTTCTTTGTGAAGCCAAGAACTCCTAAATATGTATCACTGGACGCTTCGGGCCAATGACATATTTGTTCAGACGGCTGATATCGGGATGATATACCACTCTCTTCGTTAGGTATGTTGAAAGTGTGTATACGGAGAGGTTTCAACTTTAGCCTTGCAAAAGCTAGACAGTTAGTCTTAACAAATCTCTTGTAAAAATAATAATTTTCAAACTTCATGCCTAAGGTTGGAACGACTAGAAAACAAAGATTAAAATAAATTTCCAGTCGAAGTTTTTTCGAAAAGCGATAGTTTTATTATAGGATTATTTTGAGAAACAGAACTAGAATCCTAGAATTAGACCAAATTATAAATTGAGGCGCTATTTTTCTTAGCTAAGATCGATAAGACTTCAAACTAATTTGGTCTACTAGACGCCCTACATTACATTATGTCAAATATTCGTAGGAATGGAAAGAGATCGGAAGGATCTTACAAAGATTCACAGGTAACAGTGACATTAGATCCTTAAAATGGTCTAATCACAAGTTTTTTGAAGCGATTATTAGACTTATAAAAAGTAGTGGTTTTGTACAGTGAAGTTCCTGGAATGATGTAGTCTGCGATTTCTTATAAGAATTATGCGATTTTTGAAGCGAAAATTTTTGTCTAGATTATATATAGATAGATTAGCCAGATAGATGAGCAATGCACCGCGAGGTCTATTGTGTCTAAATCACAAAGACTCACCCATTCCCAGCATATTGATAAAGTACAATATACTACTGGGTGCTAGCGAAGAGATGTGATACCTAATTGGAAACGTGTTCCCAAGCACCTATAGTTATGTTAAGGTTAAGTTGGATGGCTAATCCTGAGACTGTATGAGGACTTTGTTTCTGTGATTTGTGAGCTGCTTTACTACTCACACTAGTCTTATCAAAAATTTACTTAAAATTCTCGATGCAATTGATAACGAGGTTAGGCATTCCTTATGAATATGCGAGAATTTTCAAATGTTCGGACGGTTGTTCATTTAGAAATCCAGATTACTGAGTTTGATAGCAATCTTCGCGGCCACTATATGCGGAATGATATTAAGTGCCATGATTCTTGTGGACCTTAGTGCGTCACATATGCTGTTGAGCACCGGAATTCGTTTTATAAAAATTTAGCTTTCGATGAGTCCATATCTATGTATAGTTGTTTCATTATATACTCCATCGTGACAAAACTCAATTCAGTGAGATTTCAAGTTATGTCGCTCAGGATTTTCTTGCTTTCTAAGCCAATCTCACATGAGCCAAACATTTTTCGATATGTGTACAAAAAAAAATTCTTATATTTTCTAAATTTTCTCAGCCACAAAGCGCATTTATCTGCCTGCCACTATATTTCACACAAGTCAACCTATTTAATGGCGCATATTTTATTACACATCTCGAAAAGCAACCCTGCGTTGAGAAACGTAGCCTTAAGAAATGTCAAACGTTAGAGATTACTAATTGACGGCACGTGTTTTAGTAATCTCATTACTAACTGACAAATATACAACAGTAAAATGTGAGTGTCAAATAGCTAGGATACGCCGGAATGAGAAGAGAGATAAGTAGGTGGCAGCTGCATATCGAAATAAAGCAGGAGCACACAAATCAACGCGAATGTGATAAAATTTACGTAGACGAAACGGACGAAAATGTGCAAGAACTGCGGCACGCTAGGCGAAGTCAAGCAAAATATGTAAATGGCGCGACAATTTAGAGCAACGAAGCGATTATTACGATGAAGCTTGTTTTAAGGCAGACTCGCTAGAGTTGCCGCAGAGATTAACGAGGCACGGCAGACAGACGTACGACGAAGATGCAACGAAAGGTGCCAAAATAGCAAAAGGTGGATTAAATGTGTCTAGCTAAGGTGGCGTCTGCGGCGGAACTTTGCGACTCCAGAGCAAGAGCTGCAGCAAAACGGTATGTAGGCGAAGTAGCGGCGTTTTTTCTTGTCAGACAGTTGGCGCACACGGGCGCAGCCACGACAGGCGAACACTTTTGTTGCATACACTCGACTGATTATGTTAATGTCGTGTCGTCGAAATTTACGCAATGTACCTGGCGAATGTCAAGCAATTTGTCGCGGCTAATGGCTGACTCGCTGGCGTACCGGTTGGTAGGCGAAGGGTACCAAACAGGACAAGCATATCGTAAAATTTTTAGTTAGTGTGTGAGCGAAAAAAACACGCGATAAATAATAAACGTAATAGAAAGCGAGAAAAAATGAAATGGTATGTCTATAAAAAGAATAAGTGGCAACTGGGGAGGTTCGCCAGTAAAATATGTTAACGCGTGCGACTTATATAAAGTGCGCTAATAAATTTCAATTGAAAATATAGGCTGCTGTTGCCTGTAGCGCATTAGTGAAAGGAAATTACTTTCACTTCTCTGACTAATTGTCCGGCATTAGTGGCACCCAACGGCCAGTCAAGGGAGCATTTATTAAAATGCAGTCACTCGCATGACGTCGCATGCAACGTTAACTTTTACTTGTGCCGACTGCCGACGCTGGCCGCTTGAGTGCGATTTGAACAAGCATTTGTAAATAAATTACAGCGACGATTTGTGAAATATGGATTTTACTTTTGTAAATAGTTTAGACACATCACCACACATTGTGGTTATTACAATTCGTTGCAAGTGGCTCCACTTTTATAGGTGTGGTTATGTGGTGACTATCGGAGGGAAATGGGTACTAAATTCACTGCAGGATGCAGGAGAACTTAAAATTAGAAAATGCGGTGCAAAATCGAAAATGTACAATTGCTTAAGCTTCAAAATGTTTAGATTGTGAGACCTGTAACCATAACTAGTTTGAAAAGAGAAAAAACAACAAATTTGAACACTATGGCAACTCTGAAGGGGTAACAAGTTGCGAGCTTTTGGTTGAAATAAACAAAAATTTACGTTTCTCCTTTAAAATATGGTATGTCTATGCTTTGAGATTTCAATCATATACTTACTTAGTTCTAACTACTGTCAACTTTTCATTTAATCGAGAAGAACTGGTCTATGTTTTATAGTTTACAACCATAGTAACTTTATTCGAAGATATAGTAAGCTTAATAGCTTACACCCTTATACATTTTGAAAATTTTATTTACATATATTTTCAAAAGCTATTATAAATTTTTATAAGTCTTCACAAATTTTCAAAAATTTTGTACATTTTTAAAAATGTATATATGTAAATGTACAAAATCAAAAATCTTAAAAGCTTTCGTGAATTTTGAAAAGCTTTCATCAGTTTTTATGTCCTTACTAATATTCTATTATTTATAAAGTTTTCTAAATTTTCGTAAGGCTTTCACGACTTTTCGAATCTCTCGTGATTTATGAAGTGTATTTGAATACTTATCAAAAGAAGGACTCGATTCATGAAAGCCTGTAATTAAAAATTAGAAAAATAAGCATACTAGCTTAGCTTTTTTATAAAAGTTTATGTATTCGCAAATTTTCAAAAACTTTCTTACATTTTCCATAGCTTTTATAAAAGCTTTTTCAAAAGCTCTCTAAAATTTTTAAAAGCTTTCATAACTTTGCAAAGCTTTCATAAGTTTTCAAAAGCTTTGATAAATTTTCAAAATGTTTTATGAATTTTCATACTCTCCTGAATAATTTATGATCTTTTAAACTTTTCGTAAAGGGTTCAAAATGTTTAAGTTTTTACGTTTTTTCAAATCTTGAAATCATAATTACTGTAGTATATTTGACTGCTTAAGAAAAGAAATATTTGAATTATGAAAGCCTGCGAATAAAAATTATAAGATGTGTTTTAAAATCACGAATCATATAGTAAACATACTAGCTTAAGCTTTTTGTAAAGCTTTTATAATGTCAAAAGTTTTCACAAATTTTCAAGAATTTTTATACATTTTTAAAGCTTTTACAAGTTTACAAAATTTGTCCCTAATTTTTAAAAGCTTTCATAAATTTTAAAAACATACTATACATACATTTTCAAAAACTTTAATAAACTTTCGAAAGCTTTTATGAATCTTCATGCTCGCATTAATGCTATATGATTTATTAAGTTTTAAAATTTTTCATAAAGGTTTCACATATTTTTAAGCTTTTACGATTTTTCGAAGTTTTCATGATTTCTAACGCTCATAAATATGTTTGAATACTTATTAAAAGAAGTAATCGACTTATTACGGCCTGTAATAATGTGGTGAATCATATTATAAGCATACGAGCTTAAGCTTTTACACATATTTATTTAAAAGCTTTTACAAGTTTTCAGGAGCTTTCATAAATTTACGATAGTTGTAAGAAATATGCAAAAGCTTTCATAAATATATAGAAGCTGTCACAAATATTCGAAAGCCTTAATAAATTTGCTAAAGCTTCCATGTATTTTCGTACTCTCATGTATGATTCATAGTTTCTAAATTTTTTTTTCTACAATTTTTAGCTGTCATTTTATTTAACTTTTAAAGACCTCTGAAGCTTTTCAGCGTATTCGACTATTTAACACAAGAAGTATTAAATTCATAAAAGCCTTTTTAAAAATCATGTAAGTTTTGAAGATTTGAAATAAAAAAATAAAATCGTGAACCTTACAGTTAGCATAGTATCTTATTATTTTCTAAATTTGCACAAGCTTTCATAAGTTGTCAAAAGCTTTCATGCTCAGGAGAGCTGATGATAATACATGGTCTTTAAGTCTTACAAATTTTTG